TGTGGCAAGATTTTAAACTTACATGAGGATGAGTCAAGGTGAGTTTATTTCTATAAAACATTTCAATACAAAGACAATTTAAGTAATTTACACAATCCCCTCTTATCAAAATAAACACCTTGGAAACCGATTTGAAACTCTGAGTAAAGCCTCACTGTAAAGAACCACATCTTGACCATAACTGCTGCATTGTTCCAGTTTGGTCGCTGCAGTGAGAATCTAATATAGAAGCTCTTCTCCCTTAAACCAGTGATGATGAGATAAACGCAGGCGTGGAGCCGTGGTTAGCGCCTCGGCTGTAGGATCAGGTTCTTCTGACACGTCTTTTCTCTGGCGCTGTACTCAGCCAACGCTGTGGGGGACATGCTTCTAGCAGCAGCTCAGACACATTGTCCTGTAATGACTGGACTGAATGGAAGGTAATGCACAGATCTACGCTGACTGGCTGAACAGCAGGACCCACATTTGGACCCATTCTAGAATAGAATTCCACACACTGCATAGTGCAGCAATTTCTGTACATTTTTTCTTTTTTTATCTGGAGCTTACATTTGTTCCTCCTCAGAGATTTCTGAAGGTTTTTTAGTGACATCATTTCTCCGTAGTCCTTCTGTGGCGTCTGAAGGTGTCGACCATCTCATGCCTTTTAAAGCTTCTATCATTTATTTTCCAGGGTTCCAGTCCAGCTGTGTTTATCTGTGAAAAACCTTTTATTATAAAGCTTTAGATCATTGAAACAAAACTCCAAACCTGTTCAGTTTCTCCTCAACAGTTTCCAGTGATTACGCCCACGAGGTTTAATGAGTGAGCATGAGGTAGAAGCAGGCATTAGGGAGACACCTCTATATGGAGCAGATCTATGTGAGTCATGTCTAGGACTGAATCTGCACAACAGAAACAAATATTTAGTTATTTTCATGCTGCTCATTTCACTGACTGCCCTTTCTCCCATTAGCTGTATTACCGCGCTGCAAATGCTTTTCCTGTTCCTGAATTTCTATGTTTTTCAATCAGTTTTTAAAAAGGGGTCAAACTGGCGGATTAGCTCCATATAAACCAGTTA